CTCGCACCTTGATTTTTTCATAACAAGCGCAAATTACACACAATTTGCTCACCATGTGCATAAATAGAGCCTGACCTAGTGGCCCGAGCTCTGGAAAATGTCACCACCACCTGACCTTCTACAGTCGAGGAGGTCAAATAAACCACACGAAGGCTTCGAAGGGAGTCTTGACTGTGTCAACAGAAGCCGGCAAGCTTCTCCCGGCGGCCCTCCAAGGAGGAGAAAGAGCAAAGGCCAGTGGCAATTGCGTAGGAAGAATGGGACCATAACATCAGAGCAGGGGGGGTGCAGGGGGGGCCGGCCGCACCGGGCGCAACATCGGGGGCGGGCGCGCTCGCACTCGCAGTGCTAAAATCAGTGCTAAAATCCACCGGTTAGGGGGCGCAAATTACTTGCCTTGCCCCGGGTGCTGACAACCCACGCTACGCCACTGCATCAGAGGCTGTGCGAGTTGCTCAAAGGGTCAGGTACTGTGTCAATGCCAGCATGAGTTTTGACCTTGGAGGCTGCAACCCTCCATCTCCGCAGATTCTTCCAAAACCCACTTGCTCTGTGTTATGTGGTCGGATAGGCTTTCCTGTAACACAGCTCATCTCTGGGACGAAGCTGCTGTTGCACCAGTGGCCAGCTCATCGATAACCTCATGGAAGCGTAGAATCGTAGAGGTGTAAGGGACCCCTGGGATCATCTAGTCCAGGGATCTGCAACCTTTAAGACAAAAAGAGCCACTTGGACCCGTTTCCAAAGAAAAAAAAACTGGGAGCCGCAAAACCATTACGACATTTAAAACAAATATATCTCCAGAGCCGCGATCTGACAGCGGGCGGGAAGGTGACGTCAGGACGGTGCGTGACTAACGCACGCACTGCCCCCATGCGACGTCACAGCCAGTACAGCCCCCGTCACAGTGGGGAGTGTCGGGGTGCACAATGCGCCTCCTCCCCTTGCTAGTATCTGCCCCGGAGCCGCGGCAAAGGTGTAAAAGAGCCACATGTGGCTCCGGAGCCGCGGGTTGCAGACCCCGATCTAGTCCAACCCTTTGCAATGCAGGAATCTCAGCTGAAGAATCCCTGACAGAGGGCTGCCCAACCTGTCTTTGGAAACCTCCAGTGAAGGTTCAAATCGGAAACTGGGACGGCTTCTGTAAATCCAGCACTGTCCCTGGATAATAGGGACACTTGGAGGGTCTGAGATTATTATTATTATTATTATTATTATTATTACCCCACCCTCCCCGGCCAAAACTGGGCTCAGAGCAGCTAACATCAAGTGTACAACACATTAACTTGAAATCAGGCAATCCATTAAACTACATCCTAAAAACAGATCAGGATCAGAATAAAATCCAATCAGATGGCAACCCGCAGATTAGGGTTGGGAACCTTAAATGCTCACTAGGCCCAACTTTTGGGCTGGAACCGAGGCGGCTGGAAAAAGGGCTGGGAACTGGAGCCTTAGACTTTATGGTGCTGCAGAATTCTTGGTTGCCTGTTATTATTATTATTATTATTATTATTATTATTTCCACAGGGGCATCAGATCAGTAGATTTTCATTCGCCCCTTATTCCGTGGCTCGGCGGGCCATTTTGTGGTTCGCATCCGGTGCCAAAATGTCTTGGGCCAGCCCTGCTTTATGGGGAAGTTTCCCAAGAGCCCCTGGACCAGAACCCCACTCGGCTGCCTTGGCTGGGTTGGCAGCTGTCAATCCTGAAGATGTTTGCCAAGGATGCAGGGGCTACAAAACATGCTGGAGGCAGTGCCGGTGAGCGCAGCACCGTTCCCGATAACCCGCAGCTGCCCAGCGCACTTAATTAGGTTTCAATTCTTGCCGAGAGACAGCCTGAGCATTAATTAGCCCTCGTTTCCTCATCAGCCTAACGGCCTCGCTCCCAGCCCTGCCCCTCCCACCCTGCTCCTTTGCCGGTGTTTATTAGGAATAATCACTCCCCACAATTTCTTGGGGATTCAGGGTGGATTGTGCAGAGAAATCAAGCACCAGAAAGGGCTGTTCTGATCAGACCAAGGCTCCATCTGGCCGCCTCACCTCGAAAACGATATTGTGGAGTTGGGGAAAGGGTCAGAGAAGGGCAACCAAAATGATTGAGGGGGGTTGAAAGACTCCCCTGCAAAGAAAGGGCTGGGGCTTTTGAGTTTAGAGAAGAACAAGTAAGAGACTCCATGAGGATTAGACCCATTGATGGAGGAGGAGAGAGATATTGAGACCTACTACCCCTGATGACTATGCTTTGCATTGTGACGGAAAAATTCTGGGGTGAGAGACTATTCAACAGTCCAGCTGATCGGGGTGCAAGTCCCCCATGGGTCCATGCAGTCAGTAAAAGAAGGAAGTTCTAGCCAAGTAATTTGGAGCAAAACAGCGGTCAGTAGACCACGATCTTTATTGTTGCGCAACAGGTCCCCACACAGAGCAAGAACCCCAAGCATGGGGTGACGTCCTCTTTTAAAACGTCCCTCTTTCCCCCAGAATACACTTTGAGTGGTATCATTGATACATCATCACTACATCACTAAGAAGGTAAAGGTAAAGGTACCCCTGACCGTTAGGTCCAGTCATGGACAACTCTTGGGTTGCTGCGCTCATCTCGCTCTAGAGGCCAAGTGAGCCGGCGTTTGTCCACAGACAGCTTCCGGGTCATGTGGCCAGCATGACTAAGCCGCTTCTGGCGAACCAGAGCAGCGTAGGGAAACGCTGTTTACTTTCCCGCCAGAGCGGTACCTACTTATCTACTTGCACTTTGACTTGCTTTCAAACTGCTAGGTTAGCAGGAGCTGGGACCGAGCAACGGGAGCTCACCCCATCGCAGGGATTCGAACTGCCGACCTTCCGATCAGCAAGCCCTAGGCTCTGTGCTTTAGACCACAGCGCCACCTGCATCCACTCACTACATCACTAGCATGTCACAAATGGGGAGGGGTATACAAGGGTTACACAAGTTCAACATTAGGCCACTTTATCAGACACCTTTCCCAACACCTCTTAAATAAAGGTAAAGGTAAAAGGTAAAGGACCCTTGGATGGTTAAGTCTAGTCAAAGGTGACTATGGGGTTGCGGCGCTCATCTCGCTTTCAGGCCAAGGGAGCCGGCATTTGTCCACAGACAGTTTTCCGGGTCATGTGGCTAGCAGGACTAAACCACTCCTGGCACAACTGAACACCATGATGGAAACCAGAGCGCACGGAAACACCATTTACCTTCCCGCTGCAGCGGTACCTATTTATCTCCTTGCACTGGCGTGCTTTCGAACTGTTAGGTTGGCAGGCACTGGGACAAAGCAATGGGATCTCACTCCGTGGCGGGGATTTGAACCGCCGACCTTCTGATCGGCAAGCCCAAGAGGCTCCGTGGTTTAGACCACAGCGCCACCCGCATCCCAACCTCTTAAGTACCCATCACCGAAAGAACAATAAAACTCTTTACATCTCCTTGCCTTCAGGACTTGTCTGGGGATGGGCTTTCAGAACACCTGACTTGCTAAACTGCCTCTGCAGATGTCTAGTGTTGCCCCTTTGGTCACTCCCTGGGTGGGGGGGCCCTGTACATGCTCTCACGCTTGGGGAATTATGGCGGGATGCCCTGTTCCTGCTGCCCACGTGACTTCCCGCATCTTGGTTCATGGAGGGAGGTGGAGTCCAAATTCACCTTTCTTTAAGGGTTAAAATGGCATTGGAATGAGGAGAATCGGTTAAAGTATGGATTTTCTACGAATTTATAAAGCTAGGTATCTTCCCTGAGCTGTCAAGTCGAAAGGATCCATTCAGGCATATTTGTAACATTGCAACAACTTTAGGCAATCAAAAGATGTGTGTTGTGCTTGTGTGACTGATGGCGAGAAGGGCTTGGGCTCATCATCCCGGGGCTTAAGAGTAAAGGGGTGAAATATACTCGGAGTCAAGAGTGGATTTCATGCTCTTTATTTAGCTCATAGTGGTGAGGAGGAAAGGAAGTTCCCCCAGAATGTCTGCTTTATATACATTATTTACACAATGGGCCCCATGTGATTGGCTAATTCTGGGATTCACCTGTAGGCGAATCAGGTTGCGGATTCACTTCCACCTGGAGCTGGATTGGGTGGCTCCTGTGGACCAATCAGACTGCTGCATTCTGAATCCTATTGTTCTAGGACTAATCAGACTGCTGCCTTTTGGATCCTATTCAACTCAGTACATAACAAGGGGGGAGGCGGAAACCCGATCTTAAAGATGTGCCCCCCCTTGTCATTTCCATAACAACTTGCACGGTCAAAGAATCATAGAGTTGGAGGGGACCCCCTGCAGGTCATCTAGTCCAACCCCCTGCAATGCAGAAATCTTTTGCCCAACGTGGGGTTCAAACCCACAACCCTGAGATTAAAAGCTCTCAATGTTTCCGAACCCCAGTTGCTGGAAACCATAGGTGGGGGGAAGCCCTCATGTACCCGCGTCCTACTTGTGGGTTTCCCATTAGGGCATCTGGTGGGCTAGCGGGGGCTGTGGTCCAGAACACACAGAGGGCGCCAGGTTGGCGAAGGGCCATCTCCTGCCGCTTCTATTTGGTGACTCTGAGTTCCAATGCGATACGAGTGGGAGGGAAGTTTCCCCCTCGATAAATTTGCAAAAGCCCCTATAGAGAGGCGTCTTTTGAATCTAAGCCTCAAAGCCTCAAAGGCTGCAGCTGTTCCCTACAGAGAAGGTGTTCCAACTCCTTGACTTCCAGTGTACTTCTGCTAGCTGCGTGGAACTTGCTATCGGAGATGATTTTCCCTTGAAAGCCGCAGGATCAAAGCCATGTCATTTAGGAGAGGGGTGTAGGCAGTTCGCAACTCTTTCTTTCTCTCCAAATAAGCAGCGAGCAAAAACCCCAGTCCGGAAAAGTCGGAACGTCTCAATGGGGAAAGTTGGGCAGCTTGTATTTAAAGTCCTGTCCTTCGCAGGGGCGGCGGCAGAGGGAAGGGAGGTTTCACACTGTCTTCCAGAGCAGCCCCATCCCAACTCCTACTTGCATGTAAGCAGGAGGGGGTGGGGATCCCTCAGCTGGGAAGGGAGGCTTCCCGTTGCTTAACCGAGAGGTCCCTGCCCCCTCCGGCTTGCACACAAGCTCTGATAGGCAGTGTGAAGCCTCCCTTCACAGCTGAGAGATCCCCACCCTGCTTGCACGCAAGTAGGAGTTGGGAGGCTGCTCCTATAGGCACCATAAAGCCTCCCTTCACAGCTTAGTTGCTGGGGTCAGGGAAGGGGAGGCAGCCCGGAAGCTGCATCTTGGAGCCCCTGCGACACCATCACATGGGGACTTCCGAGCAGCTCCTGAAGCCAGCCAGAGCCAACTGCTCCAGGCTGCTGAGACTGCCGCTGCTGCGTTTCCCGGGGACATTAGATGAAATCCGGGGACATTCCGGGGATGGAATTTGTCCGGGGACTTATTCGCAAATCCGGGGACGTCTGGTAACCCAATGGTAGATTGCTAATACAGTGGTACCTCGGGTTACATATGCTTCAGGTTACATACGCTTCAGGTTACAGACTCCGCTAACCCAGAAATAGTGCTTCAGGTTAAGAACTTTGTTTCAGGAAGGAACAGAAATCGGGCTCCGGCGGCGCAGCAGCAGCAGGAGGCCCCATTAGCTAAAGTAGTGCTTCAGGTTAAGAACAGTTTCAGGTAAAGAACGGACCTCCGGAACGAATTAAGTACTTAACCCGAGGTACCACTGTAGCAATGTTCTTAACTTTAAAGCAGGCAGAGGCAAACTCAGCCCTCCAGATGTTTTGGGCCTACAACTCCCATCATCCCTAGCTAGCAGGACCAGTGGTCAGGGATGATGGGAATTGTAATCTCAAAACAGGGCCGAGTTTGCCTATGCCTGCTTTAAAGAGCCCGCAGGAGTAGAGCTGCGGGCATTGCAACTACAAACACCCACATGACCACAGCCACAACTCCTCATTGGGAAGACAGTGCTGTGGAATGCTCCCGTTTCATTCATGAAAATGGCGAGGGGTGGAATTTGTTTATTTTTTAAAAAAATCTTGAGTTAGTGTAAGCCACACAAAAAAAGAGGACAGTTTGCCAAATTTTAAAAATCCGCCCGAACAGAAATTTTTAATTCTGAAAAAGTAAGACATGTCCCGGAAAAAGAGAACTTATGTCAACCTACCATCTAGGCAATTATCTTTATTTTCATCTCTTCCTACTCTTCCCTTCTTCTGCTGAAGGGATCTCTTAATTGAAAGATGAACAGGCAGGTTCCTAAATGTTGCATTTATTAAACCCCCGGTACATTCTCAGCAGGGAGGAGAGGAATCAGAGGTAATCAGGCACCTCCATTATCTCTCCTCGAAGGACGTATCCTGAAGCAGGGCCTGCCATGCAGAGAAGTCCCCTCGCTCCTCTCCCCACAGTCGCAGCTCAGAAAAGCACCTTTCTCACATCTCTCAAGTCCTGCTTATTTATCGACCTGAGCGTCCTCATTAGAATGAATCAAAGCGGCGAAGACGGCTGGTGTTTGAATCCCATTATTTATCCGGGGCTCTGTTGCCTTCTCTCCCCGCTTCCTTCCAGGTTGCTGCCGTCGGCTGTTTTCACGCTCCTGGGAAAGCATTCATCATGTATGTATTTATGATCAGAAACATGGCAGTGATCAATGGGGATCTCGGCCAGTAAGGAACGATGAAAACTGCATTATACCAAGTTGGACTCTTCTGGTCCATCTCGCTCCATATTGTCTACTCTGACTGGCAGGGTCTCTTCAGGGTTCAGAAAATGTAAGAACATCAGAAGAGGCTGGTGGATCAGGCCAATGGCTCATCTAATCCTGCTTCCTGTTCTCACTGTGGGTAAATGAAGGTGGTGAAGATCCTGTGTGAGTGTCTGGAGGCAGTTGGAGGATAGATGGCGGCTAACAGATTGAGGTTGAATCCTGACAAGACAGAAGTACTGTTTTGGGCGGACAGGGGGTGGGCAGGGGTGGAGGACTCCCTGGTCCTGAATGGGGTAACTGTGTCCCTGGAAGGACCAGGTGCGCAGCCTGGGAGTCATTCTGGACTCACAGCTGTCCATGGAGGCACAGGTCAATTCTGTGTCTAGGGCGGCTGTTTACCAGCTCCATCTGGTACACTGGCTGAGACCCTCCCTGACCACAGACTGTCTCACCAAAGTGGTGCATGTTCTGGTTATCTCCTGCTTGGACTACTGCAATGCGCTCTACATGGGGCTACCTTTGAAGGTGACCCGGAAACTACAACTAATCCAGAATGCGGCAGCTAGACTGGTGACTGTGAGAGGCCGCCAAGACCACATAACACTGGTCTTGAAGGACCTACATTGGCTCCCAGTACGTTTCCGAGCACAATTCAAAGTGTTGGCGCTGACCTTGAAAGCCCTCAACGACCTCGGCCCAGGACACCTGAAGGAGTGTCTCCACCTCTATCGTTCTGCCCGGACACTGAGGTCCAATGCCGAGGGCCTTCTGGCGGTTCCCTCGCTGCGAGAAGCCAAGTTACAGGGAAACAGGCAGAGGGCCTTCTCAGTGGTGGCGCCTGCCCTGTGGAACACCCTCCCACCAGATGTCAAAGAGAAAAACAACCAGATTTTTTGAAGACATCTGAAGGCAGCAGGCAGCCCTGTTTAGGGAAGCTTTTAATGTTTAATAGATTATTGTATTTTAATATTGTGTTGGAAGCCCCCCAGAGTGCCTTTGGAAACCCAGCCAGATGGGTGGGGTATAAATAATATATTCTTATTCTTATTCTTATTATTACTGGATATAAAGGTGATCATAAACTACTTTTGTTGGGTATTCGCCTTAAGCACCCTTTGGGTCATAGAGGAGCACCCCAAAATCTCTCGCTGCAAACATCTGCTGGTATGCAGTTCTCTTAAAGGATGGCGCTGAGAATGCCATGCATGTTGCTAGTAGGAATTGGAGGGGAAATTGCTTCAGTTTGTATTTGAAAGCAATTTTCCATCATTCTCACTCCCAATATGCGACGCCACTCTCCTATGGTATTCACACTTTTCCCAATTTTGCAATGCCACGCTCATCAGTAATGTATATAGAAGAACTCTCACCAGGGTAAACTGTGTGCAGAATGCATATGCAAAGAACATAGAAAAGTGCATTGCATTAGGATGAATTGCTTTGCGGTAATGGGCAGACGAGGCAATGGTGTAAAAAGGTACGTATGTTTGGATGCAAAATGCTGCTGAATATTCACGAGATCTTGCGTTTCTCAAAATTTGCAGCTGATGTTGAGAGCTGGACTTAAAACTGAGAGGACCCAAAATGGGCATATTTGCCTCAGAGGCAAGCAAAATATCTCAACTTGCCAGCTCTGCTGCTCCTTCAAGAACTCATGCTCATGCCTGAAGGATCTCAGAGCAGCCCAAAATCAGAAAGGCAGTCATTTCCTTCTCCAACATCTTCACTCCCGATCTAAAAGGCAGAGAGGTTTCTCCTCTGTGGGCACCTGAGGCTCAGCCTTCTCCAAAGGAGTCGGCAACGCGTCGCCTTCCATTAGGCCCCGGCCTCCAAAGCGTTTCGCTGAACTTTGGCGACAAGCGGCCCCGCGTGGCAGGAGCTGAAGGCAGCCAATAAATGTTCTGCAATTAGCACCAGCCTCGGATTCGACCCTTGCTCTTTCGCTGCGCAAATCAGGCCGCTTCCCGAGCTGGCAATTAAAAGGGAGAAAATAAACAGGTGGGTTTTTGACACAGGCTGGAAGGGAACAGAACGCAGCTCAGCTGCTGGGTGTTTTTTGTTTTTTAAATCTCGCTTCACACTCCTACACTGCCATGAATCTCAAAGAAAAGGGAAAAGCCCCCTCCCTTTGCAGGGGCAACTCCCAGCATACCTTGCTGCAGCTGATGCTCAGGCAGCATGACAGAGCTGAAAAACCACAGGTTCAGACCCTCCAAGTGCCGCCATTTTTCAGGGACGTCCCTGATTTAGAGAAGCCATCCCGGTTTCTGATTTGATCCCGGAATGTCCCTCTTTTCCTTAGGACGTCCTTATTTTCACTGGAGAAACTGGTTTATTTGACACTGAAGTTGGACTGTGTATTGGTGAAAAGGTTTTAACATGGCAATTTTCCATGGGGCTATATTAAAAGCAAAAAGAGCTCTGTCTGAGCTTTAACTAGTTGATAATTAACTGTTGTTGTTCCTGCTAGCTAATACGTGAGTAACCTTAGATCAGTTGGTGGTGGTATTTGGTTGCAAATCTCCATTTCGAAGGGAGTAGTCCTTGATCCCTTTTTCTCAAGACTTTGTGGAGTGAAGATGCAAATGAAGCTCTCAAGGAAAACAGCTCCAGGCAAAATGGGTGCTGAAGGAGAGAGACCTTTGCTTATGGGTCTGTTTGGATTATTTCATATTTTCTAAGATGCTGAGCCTGTTCTGGGCAACACAAGATATTCTATGGATATTTTTGATGTACATTTGATGCTTTAATTGTGTTACGAAGAAAGTGTTATGAGAATTATAAGGTCTAAGATATAAAATAAATGTTCATAAATGTACCGGGCAAACACATACATAAATATATAAACCACATGTCTGAAACAGTACAGGAAAACAGTCCTGAAACCATTTTGACTCTCCCAAATTGACCTCAAATATTTCTCTACAAGGAGGAAGGAAATAGGAAAACCTCCCCATTGTCTCTGCTCACAAATCCTGTCTTAAGGGCGTATCTGTGTATGAACAGGGTGAGCCTGTGACCTGGATTCAGGAACTGAGTATTTACCATCACAAAAGAATGCCCAGGATGCCCAGGTAAAAGCAATCAGTGAGCATTATCAGGTCCTGGCAAACAGGATTTCTGCTGTAGACCGCCTCCTCTGCTGTTGACTGCCCCCTTCTGTGACGTATGTATGATGTTTCAGGAGGGTGGTCTTGGGCTACAGGGTGGGCAATTTCAAAAGTCTATATATGAATTTGCACACCAATGTTCTGGGTTCCTCCCCCATCCTGCACAGGGAGGTGAGCACCCTGTTGCAACAGTTTAATAAAGATCAGGCTTACTAGCTGCTTTGCTTCCCAATATTCTCTGTTTGGCCTCTGTTCTTTTCTCCTACCGATGGAGAACCTACACAAGAAATCTATATGGGCTCTTGGGTACCCAGTAAGGGAAAAGGAGCAGTTTTTCTTATAACAAAATTTCTGCAA